AACGGTCACAAGCTGGCAGAGGGTAGATTTAGGCTAGATATCGGGAGGCGCTACTTCACTGTCAGGGTGGCTAGGATCTGGAACCAACTTCCAAGGGAACACCCCTCAGAACCTGTCACGGGCAGTTTTTGGGTCACCCTTCTGAGGCACCTGATTGACCCAATGTCCTATACAGGAAGCCCAAAACCTAATTCTGGGCTTTGGATTCTCAGGGGCCAGGAGCCTAAGATTTAGACGTCACAATGCCTACCCTGTATGCACCCAAGATTTTTATTCAAGCTAGTCCTAAGCTAGTTTGTGTGCTTGCAGCAGTGAATAAATCCTGTAAAAGCACTCTTATGATGAAAACACTAAAATACATTTTACCATGGAAGTGCAAAGCACATTAGTTTCAAATGTGAAACTCTATCTTGCCTCCCACCATTCGAAATGCTCCCTCTCCCCGCAGGGACACTTCACAGCCATTTTTCTATAGTTTCAATTTCCACCTTCCTGCCCTGCTTAATGCACTCCTTCCAACTATATATTACATTTCCTCAACCACTAAAACCAAAAGGCAATAGGATTCCCTACGATCACATCTAATTTCCTCTCTGAACATTACAGTGCAGGCAGCATTTACCATGAAATAGAAAAAAAAAAGGCATTTAATCTTTACACACCAGAGAAGATGCCACGCTGTAAAATTCAGATTAAGTCTAGGGGCCTGGTCAAAAGCCCTCTAAAGTCAATTCAAGTGTTTTTTTCCCCAGTGATTACAGAGGGATTTAAAATAGGCTCAGAATTTTAAATGCTGCAAAGTTGGTGCTCCAGGGCTTGGATTCAGTAAATTGCTAATAAAACAACCCTTTGCCAGATAAAGATGGGGGTCTAGGCTTGAACTGTGAGTATTTAAACACCAGGTCTGGTTTGGATTCGTCTCTATTCAAAATATTATATTTTAATACAGATAGATAAGACACGGCAAAGGCCAGCAGCCACAGAAGTATGAATGAGCCAGAGCAGCAGGGGAAACTGGGTACATTCAACTGATAAATCTGCACTGTGACATTTCAGAATGAAAACCACTTTGCACTTTCCATGCCCTTGGTGTCTGCAAGCTGTAATTCCAATCAGAGCAATAAGTGCTAGACATAGCAAGTTCCTACTTTGCATGGTTACTCTATACTTCCTATATTAACCTGGTAGGACTGGACGCAACCCAAAAGGGCCTTTCGTCGGGGAGATGCCACGAACGATACAGTCGAACAGAAAGCTGATCTGCTCCCCTTCAGCACAAGAAAGGAAAAAAACACCAGCCCCTGCAAGAAAGCATAACATTAATGCAGACTTTCCATTTAAACAAGAGAGGTATATTTATAAGAAACATTTGTAATAGTGATCAAAAGAATGTGTAGGCCATGAGAAAAAACCCCCCCAATGAAACATGTTCTCTGGGGGGTGGGGAAGTAAAAGGAACAAATTGAAGGTCAACACACTTTGGGCTGTAAAACCAAAAGCAAATTCAATAACTATCTAATCATTTCTACCGCCTGTGTTAACCTTCTGAGACTTGTTCAATTAAACAAAGTCAAAATGCAAGCAGTGGGCAACAACAGCTGCCTGAGTCTTCTAATCTTATTTGCAAATTAAAATTCTCAGATCAAAGCTTTGTCAGATATTTGCTTCAGAACTCAGGAGATTTATTTTAGGGTAGCTCAGGACTCAGGATTCCCACTGCATAGGACGTGTCTGAAAATTGAAATAAAAGTCATTCCACATTGAAATGAACTCATAAAGTTTTGACATTTGTCGCAGAAGAGAAGTCACAAAAATGATTTTTAAAAATAGAAATATTTATTTTTGCTTTTTAAAAATTTCTTCCATGTGAAACTGGTAGCACTAAAGTGCCCAGAAACACATCAGTCTTTCTGCAGAGCTGGGAGCCAAAAAGCCATGAGGAACCTTGGTCTCCCAAGTTCTATGGCAACCTACTGGACTGAGGGAGGTGGGTCACCTGCAAGGAAACCATGCAGATGACCATCTCAGAAGATTAAAACACATTTCAATTTCATTGGATCAGTGTTTTTCAACAGGAAAAAGTTCCACCAAAAAATTTCTGACCAGCTCTTATTGATTTACATATTCAGATATGAACTGCAGAAATCAAACTCTTTGAGACTGGGCTAAATGGTCCATTTCAGATCTGAATCTTCCATTTCATATTTAGGACCTTCTATCCTAGATAAGACCCAAAATCCATCTAATCCCAGGTCCTATTCCCAACTGTAGCAAGACCAGACCGTTAGAGAAGAGTATAAGAACTACACAATAGGTATAAATGAGATAATCTGCCCTGCACATTAGATCTAATCTTGATCCCTAATACAGTAAAAGCTTTGTTATCTGACATGAGTGGGGTAAGGGAGTGCTGGTTAACTAAAACTTCTGGTTATCTGAGAGTTATACAGGCCCCAGCCCACAGCAGCAGCCCACTCTGCCCCACGCAGATCCTTTTCTCCTCCCCCGCCCCTTCCCCCGCAGACTTTCCCGCCGGGAGGAGTGTATGCACACACGCATGCTCAGCCCTGCCATGCTCTCACACATTTTTTTCTCCCTCCACCTATGCAACCATCAACTAGAAGGGCTCCCAGAAGCTCCTCTATCAGCAGCACCACTAACTAATGCAAACAACAGAAATACTTGGTGCACATGCTGGACAGACTCAGCAAAGAGTCCAGTTGCTGAAGTGAGGATTTGTATTGGGGGACATTGGAAATTCTGGTGAATAGAGTATTCCAGCTAGTAAAATGCCAGTTAGCACAGCTTTTACTGTAGTCAGAAATGGTTTAACCATGAAGTTAAGTCTCCCTTCCAGTTTTAATGCTAAAAACTGTATTAGCATTAGGGTTTCCAGTTCAGGCATTACATTCAGAATCATGAATTTCAGACCTGAATTTGCCTGTAGTTTGCGAGGATTTGTCTAGCTGTTATCTACTACAGCTCCTATATATACTGGTGATTAGTGGTCTATAAGGACCAGACCAGTTTATCTTTCTTCAAGCTCATAAATTATCATAATCAAAGTGCAATTAAAGTATATGTATTTACTACACAGTATGATCTAGTTGTGCAAGAACAAAAATTTGCTCAGTATCTGTTGAGTCGGCCACAGGACACCATGAAGGAAGAGGAAGCAGAGAGGTCTGCTCAGATGTGCGGGTTACAATCCAGCCCTGCACTTCTACCTATTTAGATTTCCACTGTCTGAGAACTATCGGTTCAAAGAAAATATGGTCTCCACACAACAAAATCATTTTGAGAAGCTTAAAAAAATATTAAAAACATCAAAAGTTTTATGATCAACCAGAGCCAACTCCTGATTCCAACGAGGTCAATAGCAAAGCTCCCATTCACTTCTCATTTCTGTTCTCCATTATTCCAGTGTTATGCATAGCCAGTGTAATTTCAATTAAATTAAATTAAAGAAGTAACTCCATATTAACATCACTATAACAAAGAGAATAATTCAGCCTACTGTTGTCAATAGAAACAAGATTTGATCCTTTCATAATTATTCTCATACAGTATAAGAAGTTAATAAACAGTGTACTCATTTCCCTCCTTACCAAACAACTAGGACCAGTCATGCGTGCCTATTATTAACAGTGTAATGTGATTCTATGAGTTGTCATCAGATCTTTACCCTTCATTCTGTTCTGATACTTTGCTTTCCATTCATTAAGAATAGCTCCAAACAAAATTAGAATGAGAATCATTAGATAAATAAATCAAACAGGCAAGCACTGAACTGCACAAGTTATAGCAGACTGGATGGCTCAGGAGACTTGCAATTACCCTATAAAACCTTTTACTTGTAGGCTGCCATTTGAATCCAGCTCAAGTAAAAAATGACTTCAGCTCACATCCCAAAAGCCTCTGCCATAATTGGCAGGCTCAGGACAAAGTGCAATGACCGAGTGGGAATGGAGACAGAACTACTGCAGGTCCCTGCAAGGTAAAGCAGAAGCATGCTAGAAGGGCAAGGTGCAGAAGCTTGTCCCACGGTGTGGATAAGCAAACTAGTACTAGGCAAACGTTGATCCTTCTAGATCATGGTCTATGCATGAGAGGTCACCCAGACCTTCGGCATGTACGCCTGGGCCAGAGCACAGAGGAGTGGAGGCTGCCCAGAATTTCCATCCCCTCTTTAGGCCAACTGAGACAGAATCCAAATGCCAGAGTCCAGACACTCAGTGCCTCAATGGCTGTAGTTACGTGCATGTCCAGGAATCAAAGCCAGGTCTCCCGCGTGACGGACACAGAGTCTACCACTGAACCACAACTACTGTGGCCATTATGTAGGCCTACTAGTACATCAGGCCTACAATTTGGACATATGCCATAACTCAGCCTTCCCAAAACCTATCCAAGAAGTATGAAAATCCTACCACTTCTTTCCCTAGAACGTTCTCCATAAAAAACGCTACCACTTCTTTCCCTCTTGTCAAAATCCTTAATCGTGTAACACTAACCTTTTTCTTTCTGGCCTTAACCCATCCAAATCTATCCAAAACACTGCTGCCAGAGATTCCTGATTTATTGCTTGTACCATGTTATCTCGTTTTGTCCCTCCCTTGGTCCCTACTTCTCTGCCACAACAAATAAAAGATATATTATATTTCATCTGCAAGGATCCATAACTATTAGCTTTTCCCTGCCTCAGAGGTTCTACCATACCATTGATCAATTCAGTCCAAAAGTCACAGCCTTCCTCAGCTGTTAGTTCTCCAGTTCCTTAAGTTCCTTTGTGTCCTCCCATATGAAACAGTCACCATATCTGCATTCACAAACTCTTTTAAAACTTACCTTTGTCACAAAGCCTACAAATCACTCCTGTCTGACCGAACTGGGTAGGAGATAAGCAGAGCCTACCATTTTCCAGACAAAATGTACATTTCTGGCTGTTTTCTTCTACCACCTCACTCGCTTCTGTTTCATCTACCTGTAGAGGGATAACTTGTCATAAACTCAGTGATCTTGCTAGGGTAGGGAATCCTTTATTTTCACTTGTTTGTACAACAGCAGGTTTAATGGATCCTGGACTAAAGCCTGCAAGTCCTATAGCAGTAATCTTATCATCATCATATACAGCTGCACCAGCTGCTACATACTGAGCTGTTGATCCTGTTTTCACTCCTGCTAAATACATGTAAAAAACAGCCTGTTATTTATTCACAATTAGAAGTCTTGCCTAACAGCGCACTAGTGACTTCGCTGAGGACAGTGCTAAGCTATACTAGCCTAGGGGATGCAGTGAAAGGGAGGAAAAAGTGTCAAAGATATGGCCTGACCTGCAAAGCCCCCGGTGCTGCCCCTGGGTCTGAATTAACCCATAGGGTGAATGCCAGACAGGCCTTGTGTGCAGGGCCCTGGATCTGCACCACACACAGCATCCTCTCCAGTGGCTGCTCCAGCTGGTCCAAAATTGCACCTGTTCAGGCCAGTCTGGGATCTGTGCTGCAAGCAGCGCCCTGCCTAGCTAGTCCAGGGCAGACACCACAGACAGCATTCATTCCAGCCTGTCTGTGATCCACACTGCACACATCACCCATGGGTAACACTTGCAATATAGGTCCCAGATTGACTACAGTAGTTGCCGCATGGATGCAGTCCTGGACCAGCAGCTCAGGTGCCATGTGCAGCATAGGTCACAGACCAGCTGCAGTAGGTGCCATTTGCAGTGCTATCTGGGTTGGGGGAGAGAGGTCTGTGGACCTGATCCAGTCTGTGGACCAGCTCCACTGCACTCCATCCAGCCCACGGGACCAGATAAGTCTGACACCCTCGCTTTAGGGAGCAGGGGGCATTCTCCCTCTGCATGCTATCCTGATTTGTGCAAGGCTGGTGCAATTCAGAGGGTAAGAATACTCCTTGCCTACTCTAACAAACCCTGCACTCATGTAAGGGCTAAAACAGCCCAAATCTAAATTAGCATCTCCACAGCCACATGACCAAAAACTTTCTAGCAGAGACAAAGCCCCAGAGACCTTAGTCATGACTCAGGTTAGAAAACTACTAATACCCTAACCTATGGTTCAGTAACATAAGGGTTTAAACACAGGTTAGAGCAGTAAAGGCAATCCAAAATCAAAACTACTTTCCTCAGGGCAACAATGATATTTTATTATTTGTCTTATTCCTGCAAGCAAGCCTGTTGCATTCACTTTGGCTGCATGTACAGACATGGAGACTCAAGCATCAGAGTCAATCTAAAGAGACTAAAACAGTCTGATCACATTATGCTGAAAAATACTAATGC